TAGCACTATCTTGACAACCTTCTCCTCTCTTCCCTTGTATTAAGATTCTTTCAATCGCCAATTTGTTGTTATTACTCGTTTAATTTTTAAAACAAACCCAAAATTTTTCAATATCGTTCCTGTATTCCTTCGACTTCTCTGATTCCCCAACAATAAAATCGTAATCATTTCGAGATTACGAATCAACAGCAGATGTTTTCCGATCCAGAAGATATTGAATTGAATTGTTGAAAATCTTTTGACTTATCCTTTTCTCTTCCAGAATTATTTGTCTTCGGAATTAGATTCTAGGCTCGTAATTAAATTCTCCTCTCCACTGTCCAAAGGGCTCCGTAATTAAATCCTCAAAGTGTGTATCGATCGTCCCGTACGAGCAGGACGAGAGTGGCTTTTCGAGGAGCAAATCCGTTGCAGAGATTCGGAGCACGCGACGAGGGGGCGAGAAGGGGCGACGATTGTAACACGGTGTCGAGATTAGACCGGTCGAGGCTTCGTTAGCGACCCATTGTGAACGGAGATGCGATCATTACGCGTCTAGTTTGCATAAGTTCCTGATGGAAGCGTGGGTGGAGAACGCCCGACTTGGAAAGTTGATAAGGATAGCAGAGGGGAGGAGGAATGGGAGAAAGAAGAATGAGTTTCATGATCTTTTTTATTTTATTTTTTTTTCAATATTTGCGACTCTTTCGTCGTCAAAACTTGTTTGAATTTTTTTTTTCCTTTCTTTCTTTTTTTTTCGAGGAATCATTCACAATTACACCAAGTTTTCGGATTATTTTCGAATATCGTATCATCGATTTCAATTTCTGAAGAAATGCAATAAAACGTTAAATAGAAATGGAAAATCGAGAGGGACGTCGAAGCAGTCTTTAAGTGGGAATTTAAAGAGCGACGATAAGGAGAGAGGGAGTATTGGAAAGAAAGAGACAGAGGCAGGAAGAGAGACGGCCGTTCCAACCGTTTCCAACGAAACTGTTGCAGCGGAATCACGGCATCAACCGTGATTTTCGACCCACGCCGTGTATCCAGCCGTGCATACGTAATTCACGCGTTTTCGTTGGAAAAGTATCGGTCAGCCGTTATGCTAATACGAGGCCTTATGTCACTGACCACCTCCACCGTGACCTCTTCGTTGAATAATCAAAGAGAGAGAGGTATTCGAGACGATACGCTTTATGGCGGATCAGAATTATACTCAGATATGAAATTATAACTATTTAATTTAACATCGACACGCGTTTGATTCGATCGAGTGAAGGGTATGAACGATCCTCGAACACGATCAATTATTATTTTGATATTTTTTTTTATTTTCGTGATTCAGATATGAAATTATAACGATTTAATTTAATATCGCACGCGTTTGACTCGATCGAGTGAAGAGTACGAACGATCCTCGAACACGATCAACTATTTTGATATTTTTTTTTATTTTCATGATTCAGGTATGAAATTATAACGATTTAATTTAATATCGCACGCATTTGACCCGATCGAGTGAAGGGTACGAACGATCCTCGAACACGATCAACTATTATTTTGATATTTTTTTTTATTTTCGTGATTCAGATATAAAATTATAACGATTTAATTTAATATCGCACGCGTTTGACTCGATCGAGGGAAGGGTACGAACGATCCTCGAACACGATCAACTATTATCTTGATATTTTTTTTTATTTTCGTGATTCAGATATAAAATTATAACGATTTAATTTAATATCGCACGCGTTTGACTCGATCGAGGGAAGGGTACGAACGATCCTCGAACACGATCAACTATTATCTTGATATTTTTTTTTATTTTCGTGATTCAGATATAAAATTATAACGATTTAATTTAATATCGCACGCGTTTGACTCGATCGAGGGAAGGGTACGAACGATCCTCGAACACGATCAACTATTATTTTGATATTTTTTTTTATTTTCGTGATTCAGATATGAAATTATAATGATTTAATTTAATATCGCATTTGATTCGCATTGATCGAGTGAAGGGTACGAACAATCCTCGAACACGATCAATTATTATTTTGATATTTTTTTTTATTTTCGTGATTCAGATATAAAATTATAACGATTTAATTTAATATCGCACGCGTTTGACTCGATCGAGTGAAGGGTACGAACGATCCTCGAACATGATCAACTATTATTTTGATATTTTTTTTTATTTTCGTGATTAACAAATGTGATTGGATTTATATTACGTGTCGTGTGCTCGATCCTTTTATCGATTCCTCGAACCACGTTGTAATTTTTACGATTCATGGCCGTCATTTCCAATCACGATATCATAAGATAAGATCTGACAGACTCTTCCAATAATTCACAATTTACAATAAACGTCGTCATCGAAGCTGATTCGCAACATCGATAATCCAAAATCGATAATTCGCGAAGCAACGTGAAACGAAACTAAAACGACGACGTCAGGAAAAACGCTTGGTCAGGCTCGAGCACGGCACAAATCGAACGCTCCTTCGAACGCTCGGTCTCATTGTTGGGACCGCCACCTACAAACCATCCGTTACTTTCTTTCTCTGGGCCTCGGTTAAATCACCATCGTGCCTACTACAACCTGATTACATATGTACACACTCGGCTGCAGGTAAATAAGCAAACAAATGCGGCTTCTTGTGCATCGTCGTGCACAGGAAATCTCGAGAATGTTGCAAGCGATCTTTGACCCTTGGTGTATTTTAATAAAACGTGCAACGATATTTTGCGTATCGTATCAATAACCGTACTATATTTGATTCCCCATCTCGAACAACGCAAGGAAAAAACACGTTGGGATCGATTTTATTCAACTTTTGACAGAGTTCCATAAAACAATTCTCGGATAGTGGTCGAATAAATTAAGACATTCGCAATACCGGATAAAATCCGTAAATCAAACAGCAGCATCCCCGTTTCTATCGTCTGTTCCCGAGCCGTTGGGCGGTCGTTTTGCAGAAGGGATAATCGTAAAACTGGTTAAAAAGGAGCGAGATGGGAATGTAAACGTTTCCATCGATCAAAGGGGCCGTTTATTAATCGGCCACATTCCCTGGCCTCGATCTTGCGCAAGCCGGCCAGCTTTAATCCACGCTCAGATCGAATTCCACGATAGCGACTCGCGCGCACGATCGATCATCGCGGCCGACGTGATCGATATATCGGCACACAGCCGATTCTATGCTGGCCGGGGATATCTCCCGTTCCATTAAGCGCCACCGCACCAGTTTAATGAATTTTCTGGCCGGATATCGGCCCCTTTTTCCATCGCGTTTCGACGGTTCTCCTTGACTTGATTTATCGGCCGCGGAGGAGAAAAGTTTCGAATGCTCGGTGGACGGGTTTGGAAATGCCGTCGTCTCCCGCTCGTGTCTATTATTTGCAGATTTCTCTATCGAAATCGTTTTGTATCTGATAATAATGGAATCTGGTTCTGAACGAGTTCCATACTCGTCGATTGTATTTTAATCGTGTGATGGATGCGAGATAGGGATAATTGAACAGGACGCGGCGATGTAAATGAAGTTGGAAAAGAAAAAAAAAAAAAAAAAAAGGTGGAGAGTTTCGTTACGGATTTATGCTATTTGTCGATAAGAATTTTTCATTCGTATATAATGGATTGGATGTAAGAGTGCTTGCGAGAAACGAGGATTGGTGAGCCACCTGGCGGTGAAAATAAGAAACGTGACAAACCCGATGTTTCCAGAATTCGATTCAATTTTCAATATCTTTTTTCAAAATTTCCATTCATCTTCCAGTTGAAAAGTTTATCCTCGCAATGTATATCCTTTCCTCTTAAAAACTACAAAAGAGAGGCAAATTCCACTCACCAGGATATCCCTCCGGAATCACAATCTCGGGTCCAACCTTCACGTCATGCCGGTAGCGATGCATCAGCAGCGTAGCCGTGACTCTCAGCGATCTTTGCTGTTGTTTGTACAACAATATCGGTCTTCCACCGGCACCTTCCACCCTCACCACCCTAGGTAACGAGAATCTGTCGAGGAACTCGCGCAGCGGCATGAAACCGGCACCCGAGCCCGCAGCTTCCGCGGTCGCCTCTCGAGAGCTGGGCAACGAGTCGTCTCCGGTTCCGGTCGCCTCGCCGCTCGACAGTGTCGAAAATTCACCACTCGACGACATCGTCCCGCGATATCCACGATTTCATAGACACCAGATTCAGCGAGCGTGCAGGTCGAACGAATCGGCAGTTCCACCGCGAGTTTCTTCGTTCGTCGTCTTCTGCAAAGAGAAATAGAGAGAAACGTGAACGTGTGGCGTGGATAAATTTTTTTTAACTTGCTTCGACACCGATGCTTCGATCCAAACAATGGGAAAACAGAGATAAGAAGGGAGAAAAGCGTGGAAGAGCATCCAGATGGAATTCGTTATTCCACGAAGCGTGGCAGCCTTGACAGTGATTCGCCCGCGGCGAAGTGTGCCTCGGCTAACGAGTGATTATGCTCTCAGGGTCGGCTTGACGATGATGGTGATGATGATGATGAATTTATGACGATGATTATCTCTGGTGGCATACCGCTGTGTCGCCACCGGTGTTTGTCTTTCAGACGAGGAGACAGTGGAGAGAGTGGAGAGAAAGAGAGAGAGAGAGAGAGAGAGAGAGAGAGAGAGAGAGAGAGAGAGAGAGA